ACATCTGTGTGAGCCTGTGTGTCCCTGTTTTTCTGTTTCCAGGTGCAGCTGTGAACACATGTCGTAGGTTTTCTGGCATCCATTATGGGTCTTCTTTGTTTATTTAGGTGACCCTGTTCTTCTGGCCCTGCATTTACGAGTGTCTTCATCCCCCCTCCTCCCCCCTCTCTCTCCCGTTCTGATCGATACCTGTAGATTACCTGTAGTCAGTTTTGGGGGTCACTGCCTCAGTGGCTAGGTCACAGACCAGGCTTCAAGGTTGCTGCCCTCATCGACCAGGTTGTTAGTGCCAGCTGCACGTAAACCAATGTATGCGCCACAGCCGAGCTGATCTGTAGACAGTAAGTCTACACACTTGTTTCACATACTTCCCACTAGAGAGAGACGTACTGGTCTAGGCCTAGTTCCTGAAGTTCCCACCAGATGTCAGGCACCGAGGTAGGCCTAGGCTTGGAAGACTGTGTAAAACACCCCCAGTGCAAAGCGAGGGTGCAACGGGTGTACTGAACACTCTTAAATGTGAAGGGACCTAGACTTTCCAACGTCCTCCCGTCATATATACGGGGAATTACCATCAGACCCCTAGCTGTCTTCAAGAAGGAGCTGGGCAAGTTTAAGTCGATGTGTAATTATCCTGGCTGTGGCATGCCTTGGACTTAGTGTTGCTGGCTCCAACAGCCTGGTTGATCAGGTCACCCACTGGGAAGCCTGATCAGGGTCCAAGTCGCAGGGCGTTGTCGCTTGGAAGATACTCCAGGTAGATGCATGAAGAGCGGGTATTAAGTCTTGGTCCACTTGCACTTGTTGAATTTTAGTGTACTCATTGCGCTCCTGTTTTTCGATGGATGTATTATGCATTATTCTAAGTCTTTCGTTTTCTTAGTGATTTCATTGTCAGCCTTAATTTTCCTGGTCTGGATTATGATGTATCATTAGAGCTTTCGTTCCCAGTAGTACTTCCCGTTTTTAAACCGTACCGTGCGTGTGTATTATATATATATATTAATATATTATTAAAATATTATATAAATATATTTTTATATAATTTTTCTTTCAACAAACCCCAC